GTCCATAAACTCGCAAAAAATGAACTTGGCCAATATCCAGCCATCTTGACCTCACACTTGGTCAATAACCCATATACATTGTTTTCCTGCTTCGGAATCATGATCAAAATATGAAACAATTTCTTGTGCTCAGGCTGAATGGAAATATTCTACTCTTTCGAATTTTTTATTGCGCTCTGAGAACAGGAAATTTTTATATTTTAATTTGTTGAAGTTCCATGAATTTTGTAAGTTACAAAAATTTGCAACCTCATTACATCTTTTTGAGCTGACTATTTTAGTAGTTGTGGGCATGGGTGAGCAGAAGTGTTCAATGGCGATTCTGATTTTGTATGTGCTTTTCAGGTTATTTTGCTTTCCGCCACAATGCCTACTGATGTGTTGGAGGTGACCACAAACTTCATGCGTAATCCAATTAGAATCTTAGTTAAGAAAGAGGAGTTGACCCTAGAAGGTATCAAGCAGTTTTATGTCCTGGTGGAAAAAGAGGCAAGTAAACAATTCATTTTAATTGCACTCTGCACCATGAAACTTTGCACTGAAAAAGTGTCCTGCTTTATCAGCAGTTTTGATTCTAAATCTAAATCTAGATCTAAATATTTTTACATGGGCAACATCCAGAGGACATCACACCAACTGTGAAACATTGAAATGATAATAAAAACTAACACTGCAAATAAGACTAATAAAAATTACAATTAACAATAACCTAAGTTGTAATGTAACTAATCCAGTCTTTATTTCTTTAGGAGTGGAAACTTGAAACACTCTGTGACTTGTATGAGACACTTACAATTACCCAAGCTGTAATTTTCCTGAACACCAGAAGGAAAGTGGACTGGCTGACATTAAAGATGAGGGAAAAAGATTTCACAATCTCTGCCATGGTATGTTACAGCTGTGCAAGTTTGGTTTCCATAGAATAGAATCAGTCTTTGACCTCAAAGTCATGTTCTCAGAATTAGATATTTATTACCAAGCTTTACCAGACATTCTAACTGATGATCAGTGACGTCAATGAGTAATCGATGGATAATCAATGAGTATTTAACTGATTACCTTTTTTATAGCCTGCGTAGCAAGCGTTTCCGTGGGGTTTGGAAGCAAAGAAAGACCGAGAAACGGGATTTTTCCATTTTTCGCGCTGTAATTCTTTGCTCCCGAACCCCACAGAAACGCTTGCTACGCAGGCTACCTTTTTGATGATTAGCGGTGGTCAATGACTTATCAACGACCAAGCTGTGGAAATACTCGCCTAACGGCTCATGTCCCCACAGCATTTCTCTTCTCTCAAACTTTTACTTGTGTTTCTATTAAACAATTAGATTATGAGCTCGAGATTTCTATCGCGTGACAGATGACGAGGGTGCAGCCCGAGTCAACTATCACCCATAAAAATCGAGAGCGAATAATCTAATTGTTTTAGTATAAATCTACTAGTCGTTCAAAACTTTATTTAAATCCTCTTCACAGACATTTCGAAA